GTGTGTGTGTGTGTGTGTGTGTGTGTGTGAGTGTGTGTGTGTGTGTGTGTGTGAGAGTGTGTGTGTGTGTGTGTACGAGTGTGAGTGAGTGAGTGTGTGTGTGTGTGAGAGAGTGTGCGCGCGTGTGTGTGTGTGTGTGTGTGTGTGTGTGTGTGTGAGTGTGTGTGTGTGTGTGTGTGTGTGTGTGTGAGAGTGTGCGTGTGCGCGCGTGTGAGAGTGTGTACGAGTGTGCGTGTGCGCGAGTGTGTGAGTGTGAGTGTGAGTGCGTGTGTGCGTGTGCGCGAGTGTGTGAGTGTGAGTGTGTGTGTGTGTGTGTGAGAGTGTGCGTGTGCGCGAGTGGGTGAGTGAGTATGTGAGTGTGTGTGTGTGTGTGTGAGAGTGTGCGTGTGCGCGAGTGGGTGAGTGAGTATGTGAGTGTGTGTGTGTGTGTGTGAGAGTGTGCGTGTGCGCGAGTGGGTGAGTGAGTATGTGAGTGTGTGTGTGTGTGTGTGAGAGTGTGCGTGTGCGCGAGTGGGTGAGTGAGTATGTGAGTGTGTGTGTGTGTGTGTGAGAGTGTGCGTGTGCGCGAGTGTGTGAGGGAGGATGTGAGTGTGTGTGTGTGTGTGTGTGTGTGTGAGTGTGAGTGTGTGTGTGTGTGTGTGAGAGAACGGGGGTCAGGACATGTGACAAGCGTGTGCTCTTTATACACTGATCACAGATTACAGTCAGTACAGTGTCACACATCTATCAGACTTACATGTAATCATGAATTTAGACTTTAAGAAAGATGACACAGCTTATACTCTAAAAATAAACGCTCATAATTGACCTTTATGAAACCTTTCAAATGCTTAAAAGGCTATTCGCACTAAGAAAAAATATAATTTTTAAGAACTGATCACTGAGCTTTATTTTGAAGCATGCACGCTGTTATTATCATCATTTGGACGAAGTGTTTGTGTGTTCCTGTATAAAGTGGTTTGAGGAGAAACAGCAGCAGTTTGAGAACCTGGACGTTCAGCTCAGAAAACTTCACGCTAGTGTGGAATCACTGGTGTTTCACAGGAAGGGTAAGACACGCTCATAATACAAACAATAACATCACAAAAATATTAAGAACACGTGTTTTATGAGTTATATTTATGATCTTATACACTACCAGTCAAAAGTGTGGGGTTGGTTAGATTTGTAATGTTTTAGAGTTTCTTCTGCCCACCAAGGCTGCATTTATTTGATCAAACATACAGTAAAAATGTGAAATATTATTACAGTTTCAAACAGCTGTTTTCTGTGTGAATGCAGAGAAAATTTTTATGTATTTCTGTGATGCGCAGCTGTATTTTCAGCATCATTACTCCAGTCTTCAGTGTCACATGATCTTCAGAAATCAGTATAATATGCTGATCTGCTGCTCGAGAAACATTTCTGATTATTATCAATGTTGAACACAGTCGTGCTGCACAATATTGTTGTGGAAAAAAAGTAACACTTTTATTCATCAAGGCTTCAATAAATTGATCAAAAGTGACAGTAAAGACGTTTATAATGTTGCAGAATATTTCTATTTCAAATAAAAGCTGTTCTTTTGAACTTTCTGTTCATCTGTGAATCCTGAAAAATAAAATGTATCACAGTTGCCTCAAAGATACTGTGCAGCACGACTGTTTTCAACATTGATAATAATCAGAAATGTTTCTCGAGCAGCAGATCAGCATATTATACTGATTTCTGAAGATTATGTGACACTGAAGACTGGAGGAATGATGCTGAAAATACAGCTGCGCATCACAGAAATACATTACAGTTTAACACATACTCACATAGAAAACAGCTGTTTTAATTAATAATAATATTTCAAATATTTACTGTATTTTTGCTCAAATAAATGCAGTCTTAGTGAGCAGAAGAGCCTTCATAACTATTCCAGATGTGTGACCGGTAGTGTATATGCTGCAGACTGACTCTTCACTCTTCACTCTCAGAGTTGTCTGTGAACACGGCGTCGTTCGCTAAAAGCGCAGCTATGCTGGGAAACTCGGAGGATCACACGGCGCTGTCGCGAGCTCTGTCCCAGCTGGCCGAGGTGGAGGAGAAGATCGACCAGCTGCATCAGGATCAGGCCTGCGCTGATTTCTACCTGATCTCAGAGCTGCTGGGAGACTATGTGCGGCTCATCACCGCCGTTAAAGTGAGTGGAAGACATCCTGAGCGTTTCATCTGGCCAAAGAGACGTCTGGTTTTACAATAAACTTCAACACACATGAGCAAAACAAAAGTACAGTGCATTTAAATCAAAGACAAATGTGACCCTGGAGCACAAAACCAGTCATAAGGGTCAATTTATGAATAAATCAGCTTTCCATTGATGTATGGTTTGTTAGGAGAGGACAATATTTGAAAATCTGGAATCTGAGGGTGCAAAAAAATCTAAATATTGAGAAAATCATCTTTAAAGTTGTTCAAATGAAGTTCGTAGCAATGCATATTACTAATCAAACATTAAGTTTTGATATATTTACGG